ATCTAGGAATAATTATAAGGCCTACAACTCTTCATACTAAGACTTCCCCTATGAGCTCAACAACAGGTTTGAGGCACCGTATACGTACCCAGCCACGGAGAACTGATTTAGTATAGGCCTTTTTGTGTGTTTAGTAAGAGTTTTACATGGATCGTAACTGCATAATATGGACATAATATGAGCGCGGGAAACATGTTTATTGCTTTCACAACAGCTAACAGTACGCCTTGATTTGAGTCAATATTTCGATTAGAATAGTAAAAATCCTTGGTAAATATCTTATTTTAATAATGTTAAAATAACGGTATTTCAAGTATTACTAAAGGCCAATGGCTATCAAATCAAGAATTCTGTAAGGATCAACGACGGAGAACTGATCTTTTAACTTTGTGCATTTAAAATACTTCCTTAATTCGGGTCTCTCCAAAGTCTGGACATTCTGTTAAAGATGTGCCTAATGGTGAAATAATATGTGTCCCATCCGACACAGAACGATTTCTCATCTCCCCGAAGGAGGTTAAGGCCAAGGTCTACAGTGAAAACTAAAAGCTAGACTGGTAACTTCCCATCTATTTACTTGAGATAACCATACCCCACAGAGATTTTCTTCACAAATGAAACATTTAATTTTTCGAAAAATGCTTTGGTTGCCATGGAAACGGGAAAAAAACAGCTGCCATCTTGGATTTTTTAGTATATTTCCATGGAACATTATTTTTTATTTCGTTGTCCACCCAACTGTCATGAAAGTTGGCACACATACTATCATTAACATCATGCACATTTTGTCCGATTTTCAGTTCACTAAATGAATAGCTGTATTTTTTAACGATTTTTTGAAACTGGTGTATGTATATTATGCAATTATAAGCTCTCCCCTAACATTTTTTTAAAAAATCGTTTTTTAAAAATGTGTCGGGCAGGTGTGTCTGATACGCAATCGAGTAAAAATGACTTTGTCTCTTCTGGAGAGGCCCGAAGGTTTTCGTGGACCCAGTTTGGGTAAAATGTTGTGAAGTGTATTGTTTATCATTTAGTTTCCCCCAATGAGTCTCCCACAGACTGGGGGGTTTAGTTTTTGAAAAACTTTTTTTTTTTAAAGTCAGTCTATGTGAGAGAGTTCGTCGTTGATCCTCTACAGAAGAGACAAGGATTCCTTCGCCAGGTGATCCACCTGCTCGTTTCCTCGATGCTCAAATTGCTTATACAGGGTGCCCACCACGGCTGGATAGGGCTAATCGTCCTACTCGGTCGCCTAAAAAACTAACGTGTTTGTTTTCAGTTTCAGGCGATCGAGTCGGGCGATCGGCCCGATCCAGACGCAGAGGGCACCCCGTATTAGTAGTTAGTAGCCATGCAATAACACAATAGCTCTACTTTTCAGTCAAAGTGTGTATTTTTTGTTGCAACCTAGGTGTCTATTTTTGAGTGTATGAGTGTGTCATTTGTGAGTGTATGAGTGTGTCATTTGTGAGTGTATGAGTGTGTCATTTGTGAGTGTATGAGTGTGTCATTTGT